TACAATAGCTACACTATCTTTTGCTTCAGTAAAGAGGAAAATATGAGATGTGTCACATAAGCAAGAAACGTTAAGAGATAATCGAGGAAATACTGGTGTAGTTAACACATCTGTGTAGTGGATCTGAGGAGGGTGTGTCATGCAGGCAGCTAGGGAAGTGCAAAGTAGATCAAGAAGATATGGGGAAATGTCATGTCAAGCAGGAATATGTAATACATACGTCAGGGAATTACCTTTAACATATTTAGAATATGTCGTGGAGAAGGTCAAGAATATATCGTGCACATGACCAGGAATATATCGTACAATTGGTCAGGAATTAACCATGCTAAGTATCTAAAATATGTCATGTAGAAAATAAAAAGTATGCAATGCAAGTGATCATTAACTTAACGTATATCTTGTATGACTACTGTATATCACACAAGTCGTCGTGAATATCCCATGGGAAATAATATATATTGAGAGCACACCTTGTACGACACACAATAAAATTTAAATGGAAAAAATTACACAAGTTTCAGTCGGGTGTGAATCATGTCTGTCAAGGAAACACGAGTCAGTGTTGTGGAGAAAATGAATAATGTAGATCACGACAGGAAGTTGGGCAGTGTGGCGTAAGTTTCTTTATCTGTGAGGAGGTGTTTGGCTCTTCACTGATCGTTTAAGTGAGCGCCTAACCTAACCTAACTTTATTGAATCATGGTCAGCCCTAATGTCCTCCCGAGTCATAATTATGTAATCCTAACCAAAATGATTAGGTTAGGTTAGATTATATTATTCCAGGTTGGGTTAGGTTGAGTGGGTTTTAAGGTAATACTAGGTTATGATAATTATGTTACAGTGGTCTGGATTGAGTCAGTTTAGGTTCCGTTAGATTAATTTAGGTTAGGTTGCGGCCGAGCAGTACAGGGGTTCATTTGGTCCGCCTCAATCGAGCACACTCCAGGTCAGGGCGGCCCAGCAGCAGCACTCGAGACGTTGTAAATGTTTGAGAATCCAAACTCGAATTCGCCTCCAGATTGGGTTAGGTTAGGTTGTTTATCAAAGTTCACAAGATAACACCCAATTTGGATCTGTATCTGAGTTATCTTCCTCAAAATAGAACGTTCGGTGCTCTCCCGCCAAGCTGCCCTACACGGTGTCCCCCGCCCTGTGATAATGATCATGATGGATGGCTGAGTCCTGCCTCACCCCTCACCTTCACACGTTTCTAATTCTCTTTGCTTCTTATTTATATATATATATATATATATATATATATATATATATATATATATATATATATATATATATATATATATATATATATATATATATATATATATATATATATACACACGCCTGTCACTTCTCCCAACATAGAGTGCATGCGTTAAGTCTGATTAATTACCTTCGTTAAGTTGGCATCAGTAGGGACACTCAGCTGGCCTCGCCTCACTACCTCGTCATGACCCTCCTCAACCAAAAGGTCCATAAAACTTTTAAAAGTAACAAAAATGTTCCCTAATAAAAACTGTAATTGCTCATTATATTAATCGCACACCAAGATCTCACCATTGAACGTCCATATGCTCGTCGAGGAAGCCCATCCTTGGGGAAATACCATATTCAGTAAGCAAATTCCTTCCCTAAGTGGACACGAACATAAAAGTAGAGCATGTAATGTTATAATAACAGTGTCCCCCCTGGAGCCATAACAAAAAAATGGGAAAGAAAACGGGTACATCCGTCTCCCTGCAGGCCAGTCACCGACAAGAACAAGAAACGCAACACGCCAGTGGTTAGGGGCCGCATTTGTATCTTGTTTACAACACGTAAAATGCTGCAACAAAAAGAACCTCCCACTTACCCGGATTTAAACCTTGCCACCTCACGCCATCCTTCTCCAAACAATTCAAACTCACACTTGACACCTCAATGCAGACTGCTCTGGCGCCCGATTTTTAAAACCAGAAGCGGGTTCCCTGGGATCAACATTGGCATTCCTGATTCGTTGAAAGGTCTTGAGCTCTCTTAAATCTCCCGCTGCTGTTATGACAAAGCAATGATGTACACAATCAGTGGCTCTCATCTTAAATCGAGGTCGCTGCAGATCGTAAGCTTGAATAATTTTAGCTACCCCGAGATCGTGTGTTGTATGTACGTCAGGATCCTGGTGGTGGTCGCTCGCGTTCAAGACTGCAGTGGCCAGCAGAGCGCCGATGGGGACGGATCTTCCCGTGGCCACAATGATGCCTGGAGAAAAAACTTGACTTGGGGAGGTGAGGGAAGGGAGGGGAAGGGCACCCGTGACCCAGAAAAAATATCAATCATCTGAAGGTTGACGACCATTTACGGTGTAGGAGAGAACCCATAAAGACTGAAGGAAGGCGATCGTGTGTGAATAGCTGAGTGATGTTTGGGAGAGTTATGTGTAGCTGGTTTAGGGGGCGGGGTATGATGTAACAGAGTCATACAAGGACGTACAGTAATGTGGTGTGTGCGGCTTTACCCTGTTAGCTGGGAGGCTTCATGATGTAACTCATTGTGAAGTAGAGAGAAACTGTAGGTACCTGAGGCATAAATTTGACCGGGAGGCTACATAACAGAGTGTGATACTTGTAACAACTACGAGCCAATATGATACAACTAGCTAAAGTGAAAGTGATACCTAGAACACGTGTACAGTATATCCTGAGGCTCTGTTATTCTTGATTGAACAAAAACACGATGGATGTTAACCGACTGGGTGACACATGCAATACACATAGTACTTGGGGATTAAATTTTCTTGATTAAGGAAGTCACTTATCTCTTTCCTGGATCATAAAACGTCTTGACTTCACTTACAAGAGTCAAAGTAGGATGTCAATTCACCCTCACAAGATGACTCGTGAACGCCCCAAGACATTATTTCGTCACGAGGTTCTTTATCATATTTCTGACATTTTAATGACTTGTATCATTAACTATCATCCCTGTATAGTCACTCGTAACACTCCCTTAAAGGCGAGTTATGGCCGTAAACTTCAGATCTCCTGTAATCGACACATTAGAGGACAAGAAAGGGATTTTGTGATGTTCAGAAATTATAATGAGTTTAGGTCGATGGGAATTTGTTTATGGTCGTGTGGTCAGTCTCTGAGTTTCAATTCATCTCTGTAACACTGCATAAAATATAGAACACCTGAAGATTAGACATCCCAGCTTATTTCACCTGATGATTAAACACCCTAACGCTACCTGTAGGGATTAGGTTAGGGTGTGTTGCTTAAGTTAGGTTGGGTATTTTAACGTAAGGCTGTTTAATCATCAGGTAATATTAAGCTGGGATGCCTGGTCTTCATGTGATCCCCAAATATTGAGACAACCCTTGGCTACAGTGCATGACGACTAAAAATTCAATATACCTTCATTTGCCAATGTACCAATATCCCCAATAACCATCTATGAACCATTGTGCATGACATCAGAATGACAAGCAATTCAACATCATGACGCTCCTAACTTTTATTACAAATCGCCTGCAAAGGGCATTGGACCTCTAAGGTGGAACAGGCGACGACGACGACGGCAGCGATGATGGTGGTGGTGGTGGTGGTAGTGGCGGCGACGGTGGCGGTAGCAGAGGGGGGAGGGAAAGAACGGGATTCCCCCTCCAGACCCACAGCGACCAGAGGCCCGAGCTGATTGATGATGGTCAGTAATTCGTCCGGATCTGGTTAGTCGGGCTGATAACTCGTCCCGTATATATGCTCTGTCATTATTCGTTGTTGTTGTTGTTGTTTCTTCGGTTAATCATCTGGTCGATTTTTGTCTGGTTGATACGAGTATATAGTAAGACGTGTTTCTTTAGGTTATCTGGCAGGTAGATGGCCGTTTGGTTGATATTAGTAAGATTAGTGCGATTTTTCTTTATTAATCTTCTCTTAATAGGCATCTGGTAGTTAATCGCCTGATGGATATTCGACCAGGGTGATATGAACATTTTACTGTTCATTATACAAGTCATTAAGTCATTGGGTCGTTAGGTAACACACTGGTCGACGCTCATCCCAGAGTCTGGTGTTCTCCCGTGATGTAAGTGACAGTTAACAAGCACCGATAAGGGTTTTTCTCCAGAGCCGGATGTGTAGATCACCAGACGTACATAAACACTTCTGGTGACGTAATATATGACCAGACACAGATACATACTGTAGGGTCATAAGAGTCGGGTTGTTTTATGCAGAACAGTTTATGGGGAACTATACAACTTCACCTCTACTCGTTCCTAGAATCCATTTACTGCTCAAAAAAATAATAAATAAAATCTGTTAAGCCAAATATTGGGTTGGTTATCTACTACAGGAATAGTTATTTTTTTATAGTTTCGTAAATGTTTTTGTATTATTTTCCTAAACAATTATCATTCATATAGGGATTAAGTTCTCGACTTTTGATACAAATGATATTTGTTTGCAGGCTGGTGGTCCTGTAATCATCTACCACTGTTGCTGTAAAGGCCAAGATTTTTTCCTTCACTGTTGATCGTACTGCAGCAAGGCTTCCAATCTCGCTCTTGACTTTGTTTAAAAAGAAATATTCTGTTCAGACACATGAACCAATGTGAGGTGGATCCTACTGCTGCTGAGACCGAGTTATATCGAGGGTTTTTACTCATCAAAGAAAATCTCGGAGATATGGATCCTTACCTTCTCCTTCACCTGAAATTGTGTTGGTTTGGTACTTATGTGCGTGGATGAATAGGTGGGTAGGTAGGTCGGTGGGTAGGTAGGTAGGTGAGTGGGTGGGTAGGTAGATAATCGGGTAGGTGTGTAGGTAGGTAGGTGGACCTTTGTACACCTGTAGACTATCACAGGTTAAGTATCTTTGTTAAGATATAAATAATTTTTTCGTATAACCTTCCAGGGCAAACAAATATCTGACCTGTGATAATAATCTATGAGGCAAATTCCCTTGAATCGGCATTACGTCTCTCTTACACTAATACACACAACAGTTGAAATTCTACTTACTCCTGAAGTCGATGCAGTCTAGACAGCCACAGTGGGAGGGGGAGTTACCACAGTAGCCGTAGTCGCTGCAGCAGGGACGGTCACTACTGGGGTCACACTCTGAAGGCGTCCGATTCGCTAGGGGGAAGTGGGTCCCACATCGTCCGTCCGTTCGCCATCGTATTCTGGTACCTGACGAGGGGAAGGACACGCTGTTTAGTAGAGTACTGGTCTGTGGGGGGTGTAGTGAGTGAGGTACTGGTGAGAGAGTGGAGGTGAGGGAATGTATAGCTGAGGGAGTGGTGATGGGATGGAGGAGGTGAAGAGAGAGTGGTCGTGATGGGATGCATAAATGAAGGAGCTTGCGAGGGAGTGGTGGTGATGGGAAGCTTAAATGGAGGAGCTTGTGAGGGAGTGATGGTGATGGGAAGCTTAAATGAAGGAGCTTGCGAGGGAGTGGTGATGATGGGAAGCTTAAATGGAGGAGCTTGTGAGGGAGTGATGGTGATGGGAAGCTTAAATGAAGGAGCTTGCGAGGGAGTGGTGGTGATGGGAAGCTTAAATGGAGGAGCTTGTGAGGGAGTGATTGTGATGGGATGCATAAATGAAGGAACTTGTGAGGGAGTGATGGTGATGAGGGAGTTGTGGTGGTGATGGGATGCACAAATGATAATGGTGGTGAGGAGATGTCTGTGTTAATGGAAACTATACCCATTGTGAAAGATCGAATCCCCACGAAGGATATTAATAAAACCAATCATATCTATGACAATAGAAGGTAGGGGGCGCTGTAGTGTGAGTCTGTGATGGTAGGAGGTAGTAGAGGCTGTGGAAGTGATTAATGTGATGGGTATAGCGTAGTTACAGGTGCAATGTGGAAGAGGAAGAGCTTTTGAAGGTATGGGATGGGACTATAGGTGGAAGGGGTGGCTTTTGTGGGTGACATGTGGCAATTGTGGGGGGCAGAGATTGATGTTGTGATAAGTCGGTGGTTTGTGGTGACATTCTAAAGATGGGTAATGGTAACAGGGGAAGAGAATTGTATAATAAGACATTAGGTGTTGAGAAATGGCTGAGTAACTGTCAGCTATAGATGTGATAGGCGTTGCTTATGGATTTTAACTGTTAGGAGAGAGAGAGAGAGAGAGAGCTAACATATCGGAGGTGCCATGAGTAAATTTGCCCTTCGCGACGACGAAAGTTTTAAAAGTACCTCTCACTGCCTTAGTTTCCTCAGTAGGTTCTGCTCACAACCGCCTCGCCATCCTCACCTGCATCTATCCTGATCACTTGAAGTAACTAATACGACAAGAAGAACCCCGAAGATGATGAACAAGGTGGGAGGGAATGACGTAGCGGTAAGAGGGATAGGGGAGCGAGTGATGGATAGGGTTTGTGGGACGGAAGGATGGGAGGAGGCTGAGACATGAAAGGAGGGAGGAAGGAGGGGTGGGAAGCGGGAAGATAGGAAGAACGGAAGGGTAAGAGGACCGAAGGGGGGAGGGGCAAGAGGGACGGAGGAGTGGGAGGAGGGAAGGGTAGTAGGGATAGAGGAGTGGGAGGAGCTCTGGTCGTTAGTCTTACATCCCGCTGGAGTAAAGACTGTTTCTTGCTCCCACCTCTCACGATTATCTTGTCGAGTTGGTGTGAAATGTGGTTGTGAGAAGTTAGTGTGTGTGTGTGTGTGTATGTGTGTGTGTGTGCGTGTGTGTGTGCGTGTGTGTGTGTGTGCATTGGTGTGTGTGTGTGTGTGTGTGTGTGTGTGTGTGTGTTTATTTTTGAGTTGGATGTGTGTGTGTGTTTACGTTGTTGAGTTATCGTGTGTGTGTGTGTGTGTGTGTGTGTGGCTGTCTGTCTGTCTGTCTGTCTGTCTGTGCTGAAGACTCATTTCGATGTTTTGGCAAAGTTTTACCACAATTTACACGAGACCAAACACAAACTATGAAGTAGACGCATGTGACGTCATACGGTACGTGGAGCCTTGGTTTTAAAGATCCACGTGACGTCATACGGTACGTGGAGCCTTGGTGTTAAAGATCCGGTTACCGCTGGAGTTGTTACGGTCAAAATAATATATACTTTTTAGTGAGTAAATTAGAAATGTCTATTAGTCTCTTATTTTAGATGTTTTTAAAATATTTAATCTATAAAAGTCATTAGAGATCAGGAATAATGTTTGATAAGTGAGCCCAAACAGGTGGAATTAGTTGATAGTAAAGGAAAAATTTCAATATATTGTTCAAAAATCGTTTCATTAACACCGGAACATCGATGAGCGGTGTGGTCAGACGCTGGTAGAAAAATATACAGTACAGTTTGTCCGAGAGATGTAGTAACCGAGTGCTAAAAGATGACGGCCACTAGCGGTACTTATATCCACATCTCCGTCAGGTGATTGTCGTCACCTGGCACTGACTCTAAAAACAAATCAATTAACGTGTACAAAAAAAATGTCACTTAATAGGGAGGTGACAGGGCTGACGTGTAGTTTATAGTTGTAGTTGGAGGCGGAGGGATGGTCATCTTGTCGCTCCGTCCTCTCTCTGCTAAGCCAGACAAGTCGGACCAGAAAATTGCGTTGTCATAGTTCAAGTAAGTTGTTTCTGTCCGTGGCTGCTGCTGTTCCTACTGCTGCTACTCCGGGCGATACACGTGTTGTTTTTGATCATAAGTAGTCATGTGTGAGAACATATGACCCTCCTTCACCATTACTCTTCCTACACCTTCCTATACTCTCAGGCTGCTGCTGTTCACCCATGTAATTTATATTTGTTTAAGTCATTTGGATTTTCTTTGTATTAGGTCTTTTTTTTTTTAGGACAATGGATATTACTTTTTATTTACCCTCCGCTGCTTAAGTCATACACGTCACTGAGACACATCCTAGTACACATAGGTATATACGAACTGTGTGTGTGTGTGTGTCTCATGTAAGAGTGACTACACCATTACCCTTACACCCTCCACCCACACTACTGCCCAAGCAACACCACTCTACACTCCTCCCTTTACGCCCACTCTCCGTTTACCAACACCCCAACCCTTTTTTTTTTACACCCAAACGCCCACACCCTCTCTCGCCACACCCTATCGTCCATAACACCTAAGAATCCACGGTTGCTACATCGCCCACTAGGTCTATCCAACCATTGTTTACACTCCAAAGACAATTACTCTATCCTGTTTGATCTATGTCTCGTCCCTTATTTTACGTAGAGGAGATTAAGGAATGCAGAAACTATAAGAAACGGGGGAAATGGCACAGGAGAATGATGTAACCCAAGAGTAGAAGGGGGAATGAAATAGCTAATTGTAAACACTCCACACACACTTCCTCACACACACACGCTACACACACCTAGACACAGATACACTTCCCCACACATACACATTACTGAGCTCTTTTAGTATACATTTTGCCATTGGTTTACACATACTGCACTGCCTCCTGGATATACGTTACACCCTACCTGGCCCATTAGACCGTCTCTCTCCTCTCTCACGTTTTATTCGTCACACCTCTCCCTCACCCTCCTTCTCTCCCCCCTCCACCTTTCCCCCCTCTGCCCCTCTCCCCCCTCTACCCCTCTCCCCCCCTCCCCTCACCCCTCTCCCCTCACCCCTCCCCTCCTGTATACCATGAGAAGGTAAAGTGAAACTCCATCGCCATCTTTGCATCGTGACTTCAAGTGACCCAAGACAGAGGAGCTCTAAGTAGTAGTTATGGAGGTTGAAAATGAATGTAAGATTGTTTAAGAATTCGTTAAGGGGAGCATCTCGTCCCGCCAGTCATCGAGTCACCGTCGTGTTTAAAAGTCGGTAATTTTCTGTCATTAAACTCCCTTGTTGTCTTATTCTTACGTACCATCCCGTCACGACTTGTGGGTAATATTCTCTCTCTCTCTCTCTCTCTCTCTCTCTCTCTCTCTCTCCAGGACAGTGATCTTTGTGTGGTTATTTTACGTTTATTCTTTTAATACTGACACAACAGAATTTTTCTCTTGTCACCTGAAGATTAAACACCCTGTCTCTAACCTAACCTAACTTAATATTAATCCCCCAGGTAACAATCGGGTAATTAATCCTCAGGTAAAATAAACTGGAGCGTCTATTCTCTAGGTGATCCATTTTCTCTTATTTATAGTTTAAGCGACCTGGTTCTCTCACTATACCATGCACCAGATCATGCTGTTTACGTCAGGTGTTGTCATGAGTCATGGTCTTGTGTGCTGGTCATGCGGCACCTGAGTGTGTGTGGTAGTTGTCTGTTAGATAATAGCAAAGGTAGGTGTGTGTGTGTGTGTGTGTTCTCAACCATCCTGAGAGTCATTTTAACCCCCCAGAGCCATCTTAAATAACACCAACACACAATTTCTCCCACATTATTGCCAACTAGAAACACGAGTCTTTCTTCAAGTCATCGATGTACTTATAACCAATCCCCAGATAATTGTTGATTGGTCATAAAACATAGAGATTCCTCAGTGATTTACAAGGGTGGCAAAGTTACCCTGACGTGGTGTGTTTGCCTGTTACTTATTTATTGCGGACGAGAAGAAAATAACCTGTCGAAGCAGCTATTTAACTCATCAATATACTATCTAGTTTTTTTTTTGTGTGTGTAGGATTTATTTGTTTGTATTTAAGGTCAGTCTTGTGTGTATTTATGTGTGTATGCGTTTATGTACGTATAAATGTATGTTTGTGTACCGTATTAATCTACTGTATACACACACACACACACACACACATACACCCACACCCACACACACACACACATACACCCACACCCACACACACACACCCACACCCACACATTACTAACACCTTTTACTACATAAATTACTAAAATGATAAACTCATACGAAATTAAATGACAATATTAACATCAATTCCTAAATAAATTAAGAAAATGATCACGTCGTCTTCAGTACACTATTGCGCCATAATTCTAATAATGCTGAAAGTGATGATAAAGGTGATTGTGCACAGACATACCAACAATCCTCAACAATTGCAATACATCTCCCCTACCCCCTATTTATTGTGATCTTTTGACCTTGATCTTTGTAACGTTACCTATTAATGCAAGATTTTATTCTGTTTGTGTTGGTAAATTATGTCAATAAATTCATTTCATCTCCAGGTGTGAGGTTTTGTCGTAATTTAAAACTGACTTTCATCCTTAAGTG